TTCTGAATTAACAAGCTAATTATCTCAGAATTACGAGATAATTTTTCATGGAAAAAAGGTTTTGCTCTGTTTTTCTGAATTAATGACTTGATTATCTCAAAAATTAGGAGTAATTCATTAATTCATAAAAACAGAGAGAATTTTTTTTCCAAGAAAAAAATATCTCATAATTCTGAGATAATTAACTCGTTAAGTGAGATAATTCAGAAAAACAGAGCAAAAACTTTTTTTGGAACAAAATGACAAAGAAATCAAATTTTGGACTATATTTGCAAAAGTTATAATCGTTTTTTATGTGTTGTCGTCTGAACTGGGAGAAACGGCGTTTTAGGTTCTCTCTTGTTGATTCTGAGGATTCTGATTGGCTTGAATGGCTTTATCCTTAACCCCTACACTGCCGCCAATAGGTTTGGCATAGTTATGATGGCGATCGACGCCGTATTTATGCGGGTGTGCGCACGATGTTATTTTTGAAAACGGAGAGGGGGAAAATATTCGTTTCGCTAAATACCCGGCTTTGTGAAAACGTGGCCTAAGGCAATTGAAGGCAAAAGAGGGTCCAGCCCAGTCCTTGCAATCTTACTAATGAAGAGGCCGGTGATTGCATAGACGTTCTCAGATTACGAAGGTGAATCCGAGGATTCCCACAGAAAATGAATTACCCTAACTATGTATTTACATGCATGGTCACACACCTCATTAAAAAGAAGAGTGCTAAATGAGGTTCATTACAGCCCAATTAACTTGATGTGTTCAATTACATTATTCATCTTTTCAATAATAATAAAATCAAATAATGGACGTTCACTGCAAGTCTATTCTCAACAGTTTTCTCCATTCAGATCGAACTTAAAGTCACTCAGAGATTCATTTGCAAACATTATTCATTAGATAGACGCATGGAGCGTTGATATGCATGATGTTACACTGATTAGGATTCATTACTATAGTTAAATGCCCTAAACTGTGTATTTTTGTTTTAATAAGGCCAGTTTAACAACCTGAATTGGCACACTTTTATTTTTCTGACATCATCCCGATTTTACCCTGCATGTTCTGGTTATACACATCTAACTTCACCTGCATTCTCGTTCAAAACAAGTTAAGCTTACAAGAAGATCAATATGTCCTTGTGAAACCAGTAAACAGCAGAGCAACAGAGCAAGCAAAGATACTGGCATTTACCTTTTAGTTTCTCTTTTTAACCAACCAGACAAGCTATGGCCATCTGAGCAGAAGGACAAACAGAAGTTGGGATTGGTCTGTCTAGCTGTAAGAAACAAGAGCAATGCATTTGTTTTCATGCAGGCAATGTGATCGATTAAATCAATTATAACAATCTAATTTACCAGCCTTTGGATGTACAGCAGCAATAAAGAGCATCTGAAGCATCGTCCACAGTCAAGTCACAGCTGGATGGGTTTCCTCATTTTGTAAGAGGGTGTCAACAGGAATGTAAGGGCTCTCGTGGAGGTCATCTCATTAAAATGAGCTACGCAATAGCATCTCAGCCTTTGACTCTGTGTGAGGATACGGTCTTATCAGATCACACGGTCTCGGATTTTGTAAAGATCAATGAATAAGAGAACAGATTGCTGCAACCTCTGACTTTTTATTTGATGAAAGAAGATGAAAATCCATAAATCTATAAGCCTTGAATAAATGCCCATTGAAAAAATGCCACACCAGGCTGATCTTATAGCAAAAAGTCAACTCAATTGTGGCTGGGGAGTCTGCTGACGGCCATGCTCTCTTTTTTTTTCGATCAATGTACAAAAGTCTATTATAAAAAAATGCTATCACACGCCATCTAACCCACAGCAGCGGATCAATAGTGTTGTTGCATAGCTGGAGGAAATGAGCTAACACATTTAGCACCATGCTAGAAAAATGTTGACACAAGAAAGTCTTTATGACTCAGTGCTCATGTACTTTGGATATAAAAGACCTAATTTTCTTTCTTATTGTGGTTTTATTTTCTCCACACTGTAAAAAAATATTGATGGTTTAACTTAAAAAAGTAAGTAACCTGGGTTGCCTTAAAATTTTAAGTTGATTGAACTGGAAAAAGTGAGTTAATACAATGAAGTAGATTAATTTAACCATCAGAAACTCAAAATAATAAGTTATCTGAACTAAAGAAATTATTATAAAGTTGATTTGACAAAAGAAAATATGTTGTGATAACAAATCTTGAAAATATTTTTTACAGTGTATATGTAAGAATCTTTTTACATTATGATTATTGTATAATATACTATCCAGAACACATCTATCATCTTAAGCTGAATTTTTGAACAGGGTGAACATATGCTTTGAGTTACGAAAGAACGGCACATGTAGAAGATGAAAGAGATGGGATAGAAAAGGGAGGGAAGATCTAGGTTTCTCTGTGTATTTTCAGCTTCCCCTTTGAGAATATCTGAATGGTACTTTCAAGAGGTCCTTATAATTGTATTATTAGAGGCAGAGAAAATTTTAAAAGCAGATCAAATTGCAGTCTGGTCTCCTCAGGTCGCCCTGTTGTGGAAATGGCATCTGTTCTCTAACAAAGTTATAGGGAGAAGCAATGTCATAGACAGTAACACAGCACATGCACTATGTACAGTGCACAGATTGCCTTCTTTATCCAATATTCACTTATCTGTCATAAACAACAATCTGCAGGATTTGTTTCTGAGATATTTTGCTACACTGTAAAAAAAAAAAAAATTTGTTCAATTTATGGTAAAATACCGGCAGCTGTGGTTGCCAGACATTTACCGTATGAAATACTGCAGCAAGACTTTACGGTAACAAGGTTTACAGCCTTAACTTAAAATTTACAGAAATAAACCGTATTTATTTTCTGGCATAATGTTAAATTGTCGACCAATTGAAGTTTAATATCCGTTTTGTACCGTTGTAATACACGGACAAACCAACAATCACAGCAGTGATAGGAGTCACATGATATATGGAAGCTCATCACATGAACCTCTTCCACAAGAAACTTAATATTGATTTTATAGAAGCTGCACAGTGTCATTCACTTAAACATTAAACACCATCATGGTAATTTTAACTGTAAATTATACAATGAGTTGTTCATTTTCACTTTAAAAACTGTAAATTTAACGGTATATTACAGTAAAATTACATTAAATTTACCATTAGACCTATCACAGTCATTTACCGTGTATGTTTTTCACTGTTTTTCAGTCTTTTACCGTTAAAATCACGATAATTTTTTACAGTGAGCTACAAGGAAGGCAAATGAAATGGAAAAAAGGCATCAGAAGAAAGCTTTGAGGAATTTTTATTTTTTATTTTTAGTGTTATACTGTTAGCCAGTTGAATGAGACTGAATTGTTGCAGTTTGTTAAAGAGGGTTGACAGAGTGACACTCAGAGCCTCAATAATGACTATATAAAAACACGATTTTTCTTCCAATTTACATTAAAAGCATGCTGGAAGTTAATGGTGTCTTTCAAGAACTGTGGCCAAACACACTTTAGCACTGATTAAAGTGATGGGAGTCGTTCTGGAGCCGTCATGTTTGTTATTGGAGTTGCCTTCAGCACTCAGTGTTTAATGTCGGAGTTGGGAAATGGCGAATGACTGATAAAAAAATTCGTAAAATTGTATATTTCCCACAAGCATTCAAACTGCAGCAATGTAAAAGGGAAAAACAATTAACATGTATTGTCAAAGTGCTCAGCAAAATATCATTCTACAAAATAGCTCCACTGGTACTTCATTATAATGCATGAGGATCTTATTGAAAGAAATTAGTTTGTCAAAAATTGGAAATTACTTTTTCCCCAGTAGTCTTACTGATTTATATATATATATATATATATATATATATATATATATATATATAGTACGTTTGAAGTAAACCAGTATTCCTTATATGCATTTTGTTGCATATATGCACAAACACTTTAGTCACATGACAATAATTTAATTAAATGTATTATTTAATATAATATAACTTAATGTAATATTTATATTGTGCATATTTTTATTTAATATTTAATTATATATAAAATATTACATTTAATTACATATTTTTATATAATAATGTAATCATTTTTTTTTTCATTCCAGTTTTATGACAAAAAATAAAAAATAAATAAACAGATATTAATTATATTGGTAAATTATTGGTAACTTTATTTTGATGGTCCCTTTTGAACATTCAACTACATGTCAACTAACTGTCATTAAAGTATTAGTAGACTGTCTGCTTAATATCTGCTAACTCTTTATTGTTATGTTACTCCTCCAACAGACATTGTACTGACTATAAGTAACTTTGCATGTCAGCATATTCTATCCCTAACCCTACCAGTCTACTAGTACTCTACTAACACTCTAGTGAGAGTTAGTAGAGATGTACACTCTCAGAAAAAAAGGTACAAAAGCTGTCACTGGGGCTGTACCTTTTCAAAAGGTACACTTTTGTACCCAAAGGCTGCATTTTGGTACCTTAGTGGTACATATTACCTCATGAAATTGACATATTAGCACCTAAAATGTACATATTAGTACCTAAAATGTACATATTAGGACCTAGAAATTGACATTTGATATTAGCACCGAACACGTGACTTAAAAGGTAAATATTAGCACCTAAAATGTAACTATTATCTAAAATGTACATATTAACACCTAAAATGTACATATTAGCTCATGAAATGGACATATCAGCACCTACAATGGAGAAAAGTTTACCTTTTGAAAGGTACAGCCCCAGTGACAGCTTTTGTACCTTTTTTCTGAGAGTGTAGGTGTGACGTTACTTATAGTCAACTGAATGTGTTAAAGGGACCATCCAAATAAAGTGAAACCATTATACTTAATTTGAATTCTGTATTAGGTAAATATAGTAGAACAACCAGGTTCTCTATGCATATTGAAAATTTGCATACTATCTAAAATACACAAACTGCAGAAATATATTGCAGCCATAGCAATGAATGACATCACTTCCTATTCCTGTGTGCCCCATACAGCAGCCCCACAGCATCGTGCAGCGACGACTCATGGAGGGCAACATTCCACGTTTGCGTGGAGAGGCCCGGGACATCCCGTCTCTTGTTCGCTCACCCCTGGCAGACAGCAAAGAGGGCGGAGAGCCAGAGGAGAGGAGCGAGAGCACGGTGGATGACTCCACGGAGGAGAGGGAGTCTCCCGAGGAGAGCGAAAAGAGCCTTAGGTCTGACGAAGAAGCGGATAATGAATATGAAGGGGACAGCAGTGATGCAGGAGGGAAGACAGAGTCCAAACAGAAAGACAAATTAGGAGATGAGAGGAAGAAAGGTCTAAAAGAGGGCGAGAGAGCATCCTCCCTCTCAGCTCTAGTGGTCCAGTGTAAGGTAGGCATTCACACAGATGAACTGAGCTGAGCTGAGCTGTCTGTGCCCATAATAGAAGCGTAACAGCTTGCTGTAATGACAAAACACAAGCTCTGGCTCCCTATGACTCATGCTTTTATTTTCCTCACAGTCGATTGTTCTCGACGGTGGGGTTTGAGAGGGTTTTAGAGGGCCAGTATGCAGCTAAAAGCCCAAATCAGTGAAAAACCACATGCAAAGTTTATAACAGAAATGACGTAACTGGTGTGCAAGTGACTCATTGTATGGTGACATAACATCTATCTGACCCGTACTTTTCAAAGGTTCAAAAACTCATTCATAAGACACAAGGAACTATAAGATACACTACCGTTCAAAATTTTGGGGTCGATACGAAGTTTCTTGATCACCAAGGCTACATTTATTTGATAAAAAAATAGTTAAATACAGTAAAATAGCCTAACTTTAAATAAAAAATTTTTCCTGAGATGGCAAAGCAGAATTTTCAGCATTCTTCCAGTGTTCAGTCACATGATCCTTCAGAAATGTAGAAAACAATGGTGCGGTTTATTTTTTTTCAGGATTCTTTGATGAATAGAATAACACAGTCTCATCCCAAGACGTGACGTCTTGGGACGTCTTTTGACCATACGTCACCATCCGCCGTTTTAGGGTACCATTTAACGTCAGTTAAATGACGATCCTGGGACGTCATACAACTGACGCTTTACTTTAACGTCAGTTAGGTGACGGGGTAGGTTTAGGTCTGGGGTAGGGTTAGGATTCGATAGCGTCATCTAACCGACGTTAAAGGGTACCCTAAAACGGCGGATGTTGACGTATGGTCAAAAGACGTCAGTTATATGACGTCTTGGGATGAGACTGCGCTGAATAGAAAGAACAGCGTTTATTTAAAACATGAACCGTTCTACACATAGGAGCAAACCAGGAGAAGCAGCAGCATGATCAACACACTTACTAAAGACAATAACTGATGGGGATCAACTGAAACACAGGGCTAAATATACAGGGGACATACAAAGGCAACTAAACTAGTCACAGGTGAAACACATTAGTAACTAAGGCAACTAACAAGTGAATTTAAAAGACTAAACTGAAAGGAAACACATGAAATACAGGCACATGTCTTACCAGGCCGATAACGATAACATTAAAAATGAACATATATCGGCCAATACCGATATGCTGGCCGATATAGCGTGCATCCCTAATATATATATGTATATATATATATATGATTTAATTAATTGACCGTTACAATTAGTTTTTGCGGTCTCTTGTAAGTATAACCCCAATAACGATAGCAAATAAAATTGTAATGGTAAAATAAAAACAAAAATAGAAAAACAAAGCAATTAATTTATTCATGCCACAATGCACTCTGGGTGAACACTTCCTCAGATCACAGACAGAATTAAGTTGACAAAACTTAATGGATTAAGTACTGTAAGATTAAGTTAAGTTAATTTCAGTTAAGTTCAGACTTAAGTTCACAATTTTACACTTTTTAAATGATTATTTTAAATGATTTCCTCAAATCTGAAAATAACTCTTCTAACTTTCCCTGATGTTTTAAGGTTTTCCAGCACCATCCATTTCCATTAAAAGGTTCTCTGTTTTACTAGAGCCGACTGAACATCATCAAAATGGCCCATCTCGCAGGACCCCCTCTCCATCACCCTCCATTCATGTAGTGATTGAGCGTGGTAAAAATAGACCCTAAATTAAAGCAGATTAAACCAGGCTTGGGTGTGAACCAAAGAGCAGCTTATTTCCTCAGCCTACACATGTCAGCTGACAAATTCAAGAACAAAACCAATCAATGGACCACTGAGCTCAGATTAGGCAAAAAAACATTTGACCAATTGTACTGAAGTATTCCAAAAATGCATGGATTTAAGTTAAATGAGTGGAAAATCTCATTTGAATGTTCCAGATCACACGTGGATTCTGAATGAACTGAATGTTCTGGAAAACACATGCAGTTGCGTTGCGATAGGTGAACTGAAAGACGGAACGAAACCATCAGCGTCTAATTAAAGCTTGGGTAATGAAGAGCCAGATAAATGGGGCAGTGGGTACTGGTTCATGCCTCCTCTTCTGCAAAGATACAGAGGCAGCAATTCAAGCACGATTTTGCTCCATGCAGAGCATCATTATAGATGTATCGCACATGCAGACATACACACCCATTTATAATAGCAGCAATCAAATAGACACAACACAGCTCACAATGAGTTTGACTGTTTTTATAGCGTCCACTAGCGGGTGCAAGGAAAGACACTGAGAAACAAATTAATAAACTAAAACTAAAGTCACAGTTTGTCTCATATGGTGTTTCCACCTCAGTGTGTTTCATTTAGCCCATCTCACATCACAACAAAACACTTTCAACACTGCAGAGGAAGAAACAAGTGTGAAATAAACAATGCAAGGAAGTGTGTGTGGAACATTCTTGCGGGGTCGGAACAATGTGCGAGAGGGGCTCAAGGGCCCCGCGTTTGTGCACAATGAGAGACTGACGCACTGGTGCGAGAGATGGTGTGTCCCACCTCTTATGTGGTAGGAAAGTTGCGGGGGTGACAGCTCACCTTGAGTGACAGGAAACTCAAAGAGGTTGCAACACAGCTCTCATCCACTTATTTATCTTTAACGGTGGAACAGTGCTGACGCAGACCTCATCCCTCACTCATTAACTGAGCAGTTAACAAACAGGCGAAAATCTCAACAACGCTTTAGCTGTGTGTAGGTGGAGCCATATTGTCTCTAGGTCCTCATGCTGAGAGACCATATGCTAAAAATAGGTTCCAAATCCCTCGAAATATTTCAGCTGAGGCTTCCTTCTCTCACGACACTAATTTATTATATCAAATAATAATAATAAAAAAGTATTATTTCATAAATGACGTGTACTCTAATTCAAATCAAGTCAAATACTTTTCTAAATGGCTGTACTTACTGTACTGAAAAAAATCACGGTAAGTTGTTCTTAGAGGGTTTAATCTAAGCAATTATTAATTATGAAATGAAATGGTATATTTTTTATAAGAGGGAGTTATGATGTAACAGCAACGACACTTCCGATATTTACACGTTTCCATTTGAGAACATTAATTAACATTAGTTAACATGACCTAACAATTTTCTCGACATTTACTAATACATTATTAAAAATCTAAGTTGTATTTGTTAATATTATTTAAAGGACCTGAGCTAACTAACAATAGATGATTAAATACTGTACTAAATGTATTGCTCATTGTAAGTTCACTGTAAAAAAAAAAATTGCTGCCTTAAACATCCAAGTTGATTGTACCTAAAATGTCAGTAGTTTCAACTTAAATGAAATTAAACAGGCTTAAATTAGTTGAATCTGGTTTAACTTTTTAAATTGCTTAACTTATTTGATGAGTTAAGTCAATGTAAAAACATAAGTTGTCATACTTATTGATCATATCAATTTTTACAGTGTAGATAATGCATTACCTAACATCAACTAACGGCCTTTTTGTAAAGGGTTACCATAATATCTCCACTACAAATGAAATATATAAATTAAAATATACAGTATTTGTCTTCTTCATTCTTCCTATATGCAGACATGCACATTTTGTTTGAAAATTAAAAAAAAAAAATACATAAACGGTAGTATTTACATATTTACACTTTGTCTTTTTTCCACACAAAATGTGCATACTTGCACATTGTAAGTATGAAAAAAGAAGAAGCTAAAAACAACGTTTTTTTTGCGCTGATCCATTAAGAAAAATGCCAGAAATAGCACATATGGAGTAAGCTATTGTATTCGTTGGTAAAGTTACTGTTTAAACAAATGTGATTTGACCTAAAACATGTGGAAGAATCCATCAGGAAACAAACGGATGGCTAATAAGTTAAAAGACAATCCACTAATTCTGCCAATACAGAACAAATTATTTACACATAAATGTCAAGCAAGCAGCATGATGGGCACTTAGACCTTCCAAACAGCAAATGCTGCAAAAGCACAGGGTCATTGTTCATCTGATGAGCTCTGAATTCTGCAAGCGCTGATGGAATTTCAGGTTAAGGGACAGACGGAGAATAAACTGACTCACTGAAGCGAAACGACAGGGGCTTCCACAAAGCAGTGTCAGTCCATTATTAACCGAGACTATTATCCTCAGACGCTGCTAAACCATCAATCCTGATACTGTCACACAATGCAAAAACAAAACCTGGCACTGACTATTTAAAAGAGCAAGAGCTAATATCTGTTCTTCAACATATTGTAGTGTCTCAGCTTGGAGTCGGTGAGAACGTTGTTAAACTATTGACTGATAATGTGTTCTGGTAGGCTATTTAAAAGTCCTGCCACATGAAAAAGGCATCACAAGGGGAAAATATTATATTATCAGGGAATTCAACTGTCAAGACATTTTTATTTTTATTCTGCAGAGTGGAGATGCAGAGGTGATGTTATCCATAAACACAGGGTGCCAACACAACCACATCTCTAAAACATGCTGCAGACGACTGGGGTAAGTTTATTTCACACACACACACGTTGGGTTTTTAGGGGACTTTCCAAAGACATAATGGCTTGTATACTGTACAAACTGTATATTCTATCCATACCCCCTTAAAACCCATCACAGAAAACTTTCTGCATTTTACATTTACAAAAAATATCACTTAGTATGATTTATAAGCTGTTTTGGATATTGCCATTGTCATTTTGTCCCCTTAATAGGGTTTACTTAGTCTGAGACTAGGTTTAAGCCTTGTTTGTGAAACTGGGCATAAAACCTTAATAAAATTGAATACATCATAAATGCTTGTATTTATTTCAGACTGAAAACCAACCAAGACGACAAACCTCTAGACAAGCTGCCACTCAGTGATTCAACAGTGGAGACGGTGAAGTCCCTGCACCTGCAGCTGGGCAGAGAAAGAGTTCAATGCACTGCCCAGGTCATAGGTCAGATTTCAAAGTTTCTCCAGTCACTTCTTATGCACTGCCTGATGCATTAAAAAAAAGCAACAAAATAAAACAAAAAAAAGGCACAATTCAATGGTTTATTAAATGTTTGATTTGACTGAATACAGAATAGCTGAGACATCCAGGATATTCTCCTTAGCAGAACCGGTTTCAACCAGTCACGTCTAAATATAAGTTTAATGCAAAGAGAAAAGTCTTATGAGAGTGTGAAAAGGGATTTTAATAGAACAGATTTCAGCTTGTATTTGCATACAGCTTTCAGAGTAAGCCACTGACCTTTTCCAGTTCAGTCTGGGAATGCTTGAACAAAGAAATGTGGGCAGCACAGAGGAATTATATAACAGAAGAGGACATGACGTGGGCACGGTGGCGGTCGTGTTTCGTCCATGCATTGCATACAGATTTATAATAAATCTATAGCGATGATGCCAGTTTTATCAAGCCACCTCACGTGCTCTTCTATTTAGAGAAAGAATAAAATTATGCTCACAGGATTTTTGCTCTTTTTGCCTTCCACATTTTGAGTCTCACTTCTCGTCTGTTCACAGAGGATGCCACGTTTGAGGTGCGTCTGGGTCTACAGACTCTGCTGGAACTCAAAGTAAGCCCTGCGTTTATTCAACCTTATCTTCAGAGTCCCGAGGGGCATGATTTACAATCCACGCGTCTCTGGCTTTTAAAAATTTTGTATTTTCAGAGTGAGTTTTAAACGCATGCATAAGTATTTTTGAAAATCACTTGCATCTGCTACTGCAAATCGTGTTGGTCATCTAGATCAGATGTTGCAAACTTTAATGCTTCTAATGCTTCTGACCCCCTATATGATGATTCCCTTGTGTATATTTTCGTGTATAAGAATCAATTTATACTGTAAAAAAATAAAATAATAATAATAATTATATATATAAATATTAATAAAATATATTTATTATATATATAAAAACATATATAAAATATATTTATTATATATATATATATATATATAAAATATATTTATTATATATTTTATTATATAATATATATATATATATATATATATATAAATAATATACTCTACATATTTTTTTTAGTAATCTATTGCTGTCGATAGAATAAAATATTTAGAAATGTTGATTAAAATTCTGTAGTTTCTTTATGATCATATATCTAAATATTGACTCAGTTCTGAATATGGATATTTCAAATGCCAGGGAAAAATTCCCCTTTGAGATTTACATGAGTTATATGAGGAGGAAGCTATGCTATTAAAAGAAGAGAAAATCCTTTTTAAAGTATGACAGTGGGAGCGAGAAAAGGGGATGTCAGAGAGAAAGCTAGAGGATGAAAGTGTGGAGGACGTGGACAGTATCTCTATAAGTATATGCAAATACTATTCTTGTCAGAAGAAAAAGATAATGTATGCAAGGAGAAGGATCTGAAACCAATGCGGAAATGTGAAGACAAAAAACAGGAGAATTAAAACATTTTCAGCCACTCTTTTCACCTGGAATATATAAATGCTCTTCAGACTGTTACATGTACAGTAGCAAACAACAATAAGGCCTGTTCACCAATAATTTTGCACAACACAGTAATTACAGTTTGTGAGAAGCAGTGACCAAAGTCTGTCCTGTGACAGAGGTGTTTGGTTTAACTAATCAGATTTAGAGAAAACAGATTGTGAAAACTGGTATCAAATAAATAATTTTTTTATATATAAAAAGCCATTTTTTTCTCAGTTCCAGTGGTTACGTAGTTGCTTGGAATGTCCTTGCCCATAATTCTTTTCATAAAGTATCTAAAAATAGAAAATGAACTAAGCAGCTGCAAAGGTGTCATCATTTGTTGCTAGAGCAGCATGATAGACCGTTTTACTGAACGACAGACGGAATGATAGATAGAATAACAGACAGATTGAATAACAGACAGACGTATAGAATGATAGATAGAACAAAAGATAGAATAACAAACTGAACGACAGACAGATGTATAGAACGATAGATAGAACAAAAGATAGAATAACAAACAGAACGACAGACAGAATGATAGATAGAATAACAGACAGATTGAACAGACAGACGTATAGAATGATAGATGGAACGAAAGATAGAATAACAAACTGAACGACAGACAGAATGATAGATAGAATAACAGACAGATTGAACAACAGACAGACGTATAGAATGATAGACAGAACAAAAGATAGAACAACAAACTGAACAACAGACAGATGTATAGAATGATAGATGGAACGAAAGATAGAATAACAAACTGAACGACAGACAGAATGATAGATAGAATAACAGACAGATTGAACAACAGACAGACGTATAGAATGATAGACAGAACAAAAGATAGAACAACAAACAGAACGACAGACAGACTGATAGATAGAATAACAGACAGATTGAACAACAGACAGACGTATAGAATGATAGATGGAACGAAAGATAGAATAACAAACTGAACGACAGACAGAATGATAGATAGAATAACAGACAGATTGAACAACAGACAGACGTATAGAATGATAGATAGAACAAAAGATAGAATAACAAACTGAACGACAGACAGAATGATAGATAGAATAACAGACAGATTGAACAACAGACAGATGTATAGAACGATAGAACAAAAGATAGAACAACAAACAGAACGACAGACAGATGTATAGAATGATAGATAGAACAAAAGATAGAATAACAAACAGAACGACAGACCGAATGATAGATAGAATAACAGACAGATTGAACAAAAGACAGACGTATAGAATGATAGATAGAACAAAAGATAGAATAACAAACAGAACGACAGACAGAATGATAGATAGAATAACAGACAGATTGAACAACAGACAGACGTATAAAATGATAGATAGAACAAAAGATAGAACAACAAACAGAACGACAGACAGATGACGATAGATAGAACAAAAGATAGAATAACAAACTGAACGACAGACAGATGTATAGAACGATAGATAGAACGATAGAACAGGTAGACAATTAGATAGGACGACAGACAGATTGAATGACAGAGACAAACTGATATAGATACACAGACAGACAGATAGATAGATCAACAGACAGACACAGATTGAACGACAGACATAGACAGAACAATAGATAGACAGACAGACAAACCGATGAAACGTCAGAAAGACAGATAGAGCGACAGATTAAATGATAGAGATGGACAGACAGACAGATCAATCATCATCGTCAGACAGACAAATAGAATGATGGATAAAATGAGTGAGAGACGGGCAGATACTGTACATACAGACACAGATTGAACAACAGACAAGAGATATATAGACAGACAATTAGATAGACAGACAGACAGATGATGGATAGATAGAATTCTATGGAATATTTGATCTTTTGTAAGAGTCTGATCAGTCAGAAAAGCAAGAACTGTGACAATGAGAAGTCAATATAATAAGTAGTAGAATAATACACCAGATGTGATACTCTCTGATGATCTGCTCTCTATTCCCAGTGCTGTGTAGACCTGAACTCCAGAGTGCTCCGTCTCCACAGCACAGGGCAGGAGCTTCCCTTCCTGGATCCACCCGCTTGCAGCCAGTGCCATCACCATGACAACAACAAAAACATGTGACCTCGGACCTACGTGCCCAACAACCGCCATGACCGTACCCGTGTAATCAGAGAGGAAGTTGACGGAAGGACGCCTGCATCTGGTCTGTAGTGTTCCCTTGTGCCAGATCAACATAGGCCTCTCCTCTCTCGCATCTTTCCTTCTTTATTATTCATTGTTTGTTTCTGTGCAATTTACAGAAATCTGCCAACTATGTTTTTTTTTTTATTATTATTATAATTTGCTGTGCTGAATTAGTTTTGATTAAATGTAATAAAGCTCAGGAGGAAGGTCGTGTTCTGACATGTTAAAATTGCCTTTATCAAAATGACAAAAGGGGATACTATTGAACTAATGTTTGAAGACTGATGAGTAATATTCTTTAAGTGGTGATTTTAATTACAATACAAGTCAATTATATTCTTGAACGTTACAGTAACACTTTGGGATCCCCAAAACCTGATTTTATACTTTTAAATGTGTCAAAAAAACAAACAAATCAGACAGTTTCTTTCACAAAAACCTCAAATTTAGCTAGAAACATCTCACCCGAAACTGCCTTTAACTAAACAAAGACTGTGTTTTCAAACCCACTTCCCTTTATGCCCCCAGATGATAAGGAGGAGAGCCAGCCCAATCAAATGTTAATTGAGTCCTTGGGCTGCAATCTCACTCAATGACCCCAAACCAAGCAAAACACTTCATCTGCATGATTTTATGGACTTTTCCATTTGCATTTGTCTGCTTTTGGTACGTCAGAGTGTGTAACACCTATTGAACGGTTAATTTCTCCTTTTCTAGAACCTAGTTTCTAGAAACCCTGTTCAGTTGCTGCTCTCAGCTTGTCCTCCACCTCCTATGCCTTGTTCATTGCTCTGTTTTTCCACTCATAAGCACAACTAGACTGCCTTAGTACAGCCACTAAAATGCCAACCGATGACCCAAAGGGCGTCTATGTCCCACACAAACTCCCTCTAAGGGTGGGGGTAATTAAACTGTTGGCACACAATTCTCAATAACCCATATCATCCAGCCTTTTAATACTATGGATGACCTTTCAGTGTAGGATGTCCATATATTTGCCCATTTTATGTTCTTCTCTTTCTTTTCACGCTGTGTTGAGGGCCAATTGTATGAGGAGGGGGAAAAAAAGAGTTTATTTTTTGGTGTTTTCTGGTTTCCTTTTTCTCTGAACAGTATTTGCCTAAACAAAATAAATATGTATTCTGGCTATAAAGGTCTCTGGTCTTCGTCAATGCACAGCGTCTTGAGAATCTCAAACCCAAGGGGAAAAAAAAACACATGCACTACTGTTGTCGAAAACACTGTGCCGCTCCTCACTCACAGGTTCACATGTTCATTTGCTCAAGGCAGTCAACAGCCTATTTTAAGCTGCTTTCATCTGATGATGGAGGGAAAAGATGTTCCCACAACCATTCAGAGCAACATGGGATGACATTATTGACCCTCCACTGAGGGCAGGCTGCTCCCTTTTCAACCAGCATGAAGACTGGAAACACAGCCAAGAGAAAAACCATTAAATCCATTCTATAATAAAAGCAAAGAAAAGATATTCTAATATATAATTGTTCTAAAATTACAAAATTACAGTGTTCTATACAGTTTTCAATGTAAAAGGCTACAGGGCAATTTGTAAGAATAGCATTCTTATGGAAATCTCATTGTATTTAACATTAAATATGTTTTTACGTCACACAAGTGTTTTTTTTTTTTTTTGCTTTCATTGTCAACAAACAACTTAATAGTCATAAAAATAACAATAAAAGGAGAACTTCGGCACAAAATGAACCTTTGGCCTCATAAAACATTGGTACCCATTCAGTCGACCATTCTCTGTGATTTGTTTTCATGATAATCAAATGTAAAGAGTTTTATCTGTAAATCTGTTTAGCGTATAAAGCTAGTTTATGAGGGCATATAATAAGTAAAAAGAAATTGCTAGTTAATACCATTAACAAAGCTCAAAATAGCCCCATACTAACAGTTTAGACTGTTTTCCTGCTGTGTATTCACAAAGTGGATGCTTTATAAAGTACACTTACAAAGTTCTCAATGATTCGTTTTGCATCTAGGGACCCTTATTATGTTACTGTGTTAGTGTGGGGCTATTATACTAGCGTATATTAGTACTAGTAGTACATATAGCGTTACTACATATATAGCATTATACACTAAAGAGTTTTTAGAGATTAAACTCTTTACATTTGATTATCATGAAAACAAATCTCAGAGAACGGTTGACTAGGTACCAAAGTTTTATTAGACCAAAAGTTCATTTTGCGCCGGAGTTCTCCATCAATAGTTTTTCATGAAAATATAACAACGCTCCAGGTTCTGAAACAACTGTTCTGTAATGCAACGAGCCACTTGGGAGGGGTAAAATAATATTGTCCATTACAGCAAGTAATATCACAGCATCTGTAATTCACTTTTATCAATACAATCAAATCCAGACTCGTAAAGCAAATCCCTCCCTACATTATTTTGCACAGTTTCAGTTGAATTATGGAAGAAAAATGCACTGTGGATGCCTTTTTTGTGGTCTTTAAGAGAGAAAAGAAATTAAATTCAACATCAAATCACTTTATAACCGCATTTGCTTCAGCACGACAAGACAGCAGTGATGTATAACAGTCTATTCATCTGTAAATGGCCGCGTCGCACGCTGTGCCCCATGTCTTTCTGTCACATCCAATGATGACTTGAATAACAGATAATCCTGTAAAGCCTCAGTTCCACACAGAAGAGTAGAAAATGCTTATTTTTTTTCAGCCAGTGCTCGCACAGAGATGGGCTCTGCTACTGCTTCATAACCCACTGTGCAACGGGGGGCCTGTGGCGTTTTCTTCTGACTCAGTGCACATGCCACATCCTGTCACAGTTTTAAAAGACGTCTCATTGTATCGGCGCAATAATATTATTTGTTTTGCAGATTAACAGAACAGCAATGTAACCTCTGACACGTAGTTATCTGCACGATTTGCATTTGCAAGAAGAATGATCTGTGTATGCAAACACCTGCAAAAAGATAAATAAAGATGCAGCAGAAATCATTGACTCAGCACGCTCATCAGGCCAGGCAACATTTTTCCAATCTTCGGTTGTTTGATTCGTTGAGCCTGTGTAGCTTCTTATACCATACTCTTCGGAAAACCTTGGTTGAAACGATTGTTTATTGCGAATGTTTCCATTAACCGATGTTATGCAACCAGAACATAATATTTTCTCTCACGATAAGTCATTCCAAAAATCATGGCCACATATGGAGCTTCTGAAAGCTCTTCTCCCTCGTTTCTGCTTCAAGATCTTGATCAATTTGGGCGTTTCTTTGTTGTTTAGAACCAGTATATCCGTAATTTAATAATGAGTTTAATAAAGAACCCTGTCTCGTCTTCTGTCAAAACATATCATGCTATCTTTAAAGGGGTGATGAACTGAGGAAAATCAAATTTTCCTTGAGCTTTTGACATCTAAGAGGTCATCATATTATAAGAATATCCTGTACGTATCCTTGTTAGTCCAATAAAAGCTTTTATTGACACCAGCCTCAGCAAACGACTCGTTTTTCAATGTCGGGAACAATGGCAGAAGAAGAAGATCAACACGGCCGGTTTAGCCCCGCCCACCGATTCACGTATTCACACATAGCTAAATAACTACCTTGTGATGACAAGAATATTATGCAGCACCTGGTTGCACCTGGTTGTGGAAGACAGTCGCTGAATAAGCTTCCTCTGGATTCCAATAGGACTGCATGGATAAACTTTATTTTTAAAGACGTTCCAGCTGATGAGGTAAAACATCGTCGTCTGTTCGCTTCATTTCACTGAGGATTTTTTTGTAAACAAGACTGGATTTGCAGACCGATTAAGATTAAAAAACGGTGCTGTGCTGACTATATTGGATCCGACAGGAATGGTACAACGCACGGACTCTGGGTCGAACATGTATGGACGAATCATTCCGGTTGGCAATCCAAACTCATGAATTACTAAAACCACATTCCATTGCAGTTTTGCGAAATATTCTTTTTTCGAGTTGCCTCATGCAAATGTAAAAACATTTTTGGGATATATGGGAGTTTTTGCGAAATTGACGTGTTTCCATTGGGAGCATTTTAAATTCTCGATTTCAATTTGCGCAATTTGAAGGGTAATGAAAATGCAGCTAGTTTTACCTTTCAATCAGCTCGAACAAGTCTGGCCATTCTCCTCTCGAGGCATCTTAACCCACATAACTGCTACTCGCTGGATGCTTTCTCTTTTTCAGACCATTCTCTGTAAAACTTCGAGATGATTGTGCATGAAAATACCAGTGGATCAGCGCTTTTTCAAATACTCAGACCAGCCCGTCTGGCACCAGCAACCATGGCACATTCAAAGTCACCTTTTGTTCCCATTTAGATGCTCATTTTGGACTTTAGCAGGTCTATACCTATATGCCTAAATGCATTGGGTTTCTGCCATGTGATTCCTAATGCACCTACCGAGTGTATACTCTATTTATTGCATACAAGCCAAGATTCTTCTGTACCGCTCCTCAAAGGAAACAAGTTTTAGTAACATGCTTATTTAGTTACCGAATGGACAACAGACAGAACACTATTAGTAAGGCTGTTATTTGAAGTGTGAACAAGAAATCCAGTGGGAGTGCATAAGATGTATGAGACTAACAGGCAGGGAATGAGCTCCCTTACAGCACAGGTGGGTTTAGGGGTCAAGCTTTGATTGACACCTCCATAGAAAAGAACAGAAATAAACAGAACCTAGTGTGAGCAATCTGCCAGCCCCTTCTCGACCCTAAATCCTTCCACCACCAAAGGCGTTGTGATATTTTGCCGAGAACACCCCATGGTGTCGGATCGGGCAAAATCCACCTCGGGTGTGCAGGTGGAAGGAGAAGCATTGATTAGAAGAAAAGACTCGCATTCACGCCAAGAGGAATAAAGAGGAAAGGGGCATCTTCCTGTCCGTAATGAACACGGCTAAGGGCAGAACACAGCGGAAGGACCACAGCAGTGTTTAATATCAAGATCTAATGAGCTTTGCACCTCTAATGGCACAAGCCAATGAGGAACCACTACAGAGGAACGCATTAAACGGAAACCCCGCTGCCAGCGGGATAAACATAGGGGCTTATTAAAACTGCCATTTGTGTTTCCATCGACAGGAGCGCCTCTGAGGGGGCTGATGAGATGATGGAATGACGGACTATCAGGACCAGCACCAGTAAAGCTAAGTGTCCATTAAAAAAAATGGCTGGAAAGGAGAATGTGAAAGCCGACGCGTGGGGAATCTTGCCGCCTTACTGTCAATCAACAGGCTGGAATCCCTCTCTGTCTCCACATGAGAATGAGCACGGGTGCACGGGAGGAAGACAGGCGCATGCATTAGTCACAGGGATTTGAAGAGGCATAATCTTTTATGATTCACTCCTTTCTCACCACAATCATAAGTGATGGGTTGTAAGGGGCCAGCGGTATTAATTAAAGGCTTCTCTATTGCACATAGGAACTGGGTGAATTGAAGATAAAGTACCTTAATCTGACCAAAATACGAATAGATGGTTAAGGTAAGATGAGTTTAGGTAAGACAGACATTTGGGAGGGATTTTGACCATAGACAGTAAAAGAAATGGACACGGGACTCCATAGATTTCAACGGATAAAACTGAAGCCCATTAGAAGCACTCACTTCCTGATGGCTGAGGGCATTGCGCAGGCTCAAACCAAAGGGGCAATCCATTGCCCGGAAGTTGAAGCCGGCCGGGTGCCGCCATCTTGTAGCAGAACTTCACTTGAGTTAGCATTTCCATTGACTTCCATTCATTTTGGCGTCACTTTGACAGCGAATAACTTTAGATCTGAGGCGTTTGAAGACTCCATTTGTCCATTATTTATTTCTAAAGAAACACGACAATGTATAAAATGCTCCATTACCTTGTAGCTTATGTTATGTCCCCGTAGAAGCAGTTTTTTGTAAAAGTAGGCTAACGATTGCGTCATAACCACACGACTCTCTGTCGCACAGTAGAGAGATTACCGTATGGACAGGAGGAGAAGCTCACAGGCAATCGGGGAAACGTGGAGGCAAAATGACAAAATAATTAATCAGAATACCTAGCAAAAGTTTCTCCTGCTTCTAGTTCATGGACAGCTCCTATTCACACTCACCGCC